CATACCATACCATACCATACCATACCATACCATACCATACCATACCACTTTATTTATAGAGCACTTAAAACAGTGACAAGGCCAACTAAAGTGCTGTACAGACAGAACAACAGGTAACACACAAAGCAATATACAAAATGAGGTCAATCAGAATATAGACATAAAAACGATGCAGATAATGACGACAAACCAGTGTGGAGCATACAGGATCAAAACACAGATCATCTGGTGTTTGGCGTTTATTCAAGTGGTTCAGATTATTATAATCCCTAGAATCCAATGTTGAGTTTCAAACAAGCAAACATTATTTGTAATGTCTCAGTCTACCTGTATAAGAAGCAACCTCAAAGCCTGAGCCGTCTCTTGGCTGAGCTCCTTCACCCCGCTCTTTTCTATTGTCTCGAGCACATGAAGTAGATCTGACTCCCACAGCACAGCTGCGCTACCGTACTGCAACATCTGTAAACAAGACCACCACATCTGCCTAAAGACATTAAAATACTAATGCACAATTCTGCAACACAGGAGAAAGAGAAAATAATGCTTTCAAAATTGTTTTGATTATTATTTTATTACCATTTATCTTCATGCAATGTGCAGTAAACTGATTAAACCTAATTTATTTTTAATAAATGGTGTAAAAAGCACTAAATGTCTTCAGTAAACATGAGTTTTTAAGTTCTTGGCAGTGGGTTAGTTGTTCCAGTCATTTTGGGATTCTGCCAAAAATGTAGATTTAGCTTTCTTTAGCTTTTCCCGTCTGATCATTTAATCCTAGAATTATTTTTATAATGTTGAGATTAGAGCTATGCGGGGGCTGCGGGGCCTCACTTCCTCCCACCACAGCATGGACATCTTTCCAACACTGGTTTCACACCAAGCTCAGTCACATGCAGCAGGAAGATTCTGTGGCCAGTTACCACCTTCTTGATGATACTACATGACTAATAAATGATTAATACATGACTAATAAATGATTAATACATGACTAATAAATGATTAATACATGACTAATAAATGATTAATAAATTACCAATAAATGATTAATGAATGACTAATAAATGATTAATAAATGACTAATAAATGATTAATGAATGACTAATGAATGATTAATAAATTATTAATACATGACTAATAAATGATTAATACATGACTAACAAATGATTAATGAATGACTAATAAATTATTAATAAATGACTAATAAATGATTAATACATGACTAACAAATGATTAATGAATGACTAATAAATTATTAATAAATGACTAATAAATGATTAATACATGACTAATAAAATGAACAACTAATAAATGATTAATAAATGATTAATAAATGATTAATGAATGTTAGTGTCTGCCATTCCTGCACTGTAATGCATAAAAGTTTACTGTAATCAAGGATTGATTCGAAAAGTATCCAGAAAAGGTCTTGGTTACCTCGTGTTATGTTCCAGGCACATATTGTTTTGTTCTTGTAAATAGGTTTTGAATTAGTTAATCAGTCTTTGATTGTTTTGGGCTGAGGCTTTTTCTACTCGCCCATGAATAGGCTGGTTTCAGGGCGCTCTCTTAGGCTCACTCTGTTTTTTGGCCCTTCTGAGACACTGTTTTTCTTCTCTCCTTTGTCTTGGAGTTGTGGCCTGCTGTCGATGGCCCCAGCCACCTCAGGTCATTTTTGTTAACTTTTTGTATATTTGTTGTAACTTTGGCCTGGTGGGACTGGTAGCCCTGTTTTCGTTCTTTCTTTTGTAATAGGTGTTTTTTTTTAAGGGTTTTTGTAGGTTTAGTCTGGTATCAGCTGCGGCTTCGACGGCCCTGTATAGGGTTGGCCCACTGCTGTACCTTTTTGTTTGGTTTGGCCAGCTCACCAGGACCTCCTTTAAGTTGGTACTTTGGATTTTTGTGTCTTTTTTGGTGGACACGGGAACTGGGGGTTCTTAATAATCTTCTTTTTTTCAGGAAGCAACAGTTTTTAAATAAAATGAATGTTTGAACCCTCATATTTGCCTCGTGTCCTCCTTTAATATGTTGTGCCCTTGGTGGACGTAACACCTCGTCTTTCCTAAAGTGGGATTTAGCCCACATGAAAAATGCACAGACTGAGCAACCAGCACAAACATTTGTAATCTTTCTTGCTTTTTATTTTGTTATCTTTTTGTCTGTACTAAAGCAAACTTTTAAAGGATAATGCAAACTGAATATTTGAGGAAACTCCTGTTAAATGTTTCTTCTGTTTCTTATCAAATAATTTATCATGGTACAAAAAAAAAAAGCTTTTAATTTGAAACGTTACAAGTGTTATACTTAATTTAGGAATTTGTTTGTTTACAGCCAATTGAGATTGTTGCAGCTAGGTTGATATTTGTTGTGTTGTGAGAATACATTTCAAGGATTTATGGTGCATTACTTGTCTTGAACATACAGACATGAAAGAATCAAATCTGAAACTCAAGAAACCCAATAGAGAAAACTACTCTAAAAATCTGAATCTTAAACTCTGACTAGGATAAAAATAAAATCACATAACAACACGACCTGTGGGTGGTTGTAAAGTACAAGGATCTGGCTCTGATAATAATTCTAATCCTTGCTGCATGTTTTACATGTTTCCCTGCCTTTTGAAACACCAAACCCAAATTAATGGGTCATTAAGAGGCTTCTGCAGAACTTATGTTGAGAGGTGATTTAATTAAGTGAGTCAGGTGTTTTAAAGCAAAAACAACATCTAAACATGCAGAACAGAGGGCGCAGAGGACGAGAGTTGGAAACCTCTATTAAAGAGGGTCACTATGGCTCAGGTGAGGGTTGTAATTTTAAAATCTATGATTAAATAAAATTGCTGTCATGATCTGTGGTTTCACCTCTGACCTGTTACCAACACTGCTCCTTCTTGGCTGTCCTGATTTCTCATTTTATTTTGTATTTTTTTTAAATCACTTGTATTGCAGTCCTTTCTGTACATCAGTAATAAACTAACATTTCACTAGTATCCCCTGGAGTCTACACTTAGATTGTCACCATACTCTAATGTTGACAATAAGCTGCTGTTGATCCTTCGTTTCTTTGGGGAGAGGTTCACCAAAACCCCCTAACTCGTGTCAGAAATCTTGGCTGTGACGGCAGCTTAGAGTAACAGCTGACAAAAGCTCTTTTCTTTCCTTTGCAGCTGTCACAAAACAATGCATGAAAATAACAAAAAAGGTTAAATCGTGTCATCTGGACCAGTTTCTTTAAGTGAGAAACATCTCGTTCCCCATCCAGAGGACTTCCTCAGCCTACAGCCTGCCAACCAGATCTGTCCCACAGGTAGATTTTGAGATAGATTACAACAGGAGGTTTGCTTGAAACACAGCAGTGAAGGCTACCTATGGGACAGATCTGGTTGGCAGGCCATAGACTGAGGAAGTCCTCTGATGGGGGACAAAATGCTTCCCACTTAAAGAAACTGGGCCAGATGACACCATTTAACCTTTTTTGTTGCTATCTACCTGTATGATTGAGATTACAACCCTTTTTTCATGCATGAAAATATTTAGAGGCACAGCTCCCAACAGAGAACAGTAATTTTCTTTAATTGTGATGTATAATCTTGTATTAGGATGCATAACACAACATCCATCCTCATTACTCTTGCTCTTAATGCTTTTAAATTATTTTCTCATTAAATTTTAATACCAAACATTCATTACTGCTTGAAAACACATCTTAGATTATTGCTGATTTGAGTGAAGTGTGTGTGTAAAATATCTCACAAGTGTGATGAGTCTGAGAAGAGCAGGATGCAGAAAGTAGTTCTCTCCTGAGCTGAGCAGACAACGGAGGAGGAACTGATACCACGGCTGACGAGCTGCATATTTGGCTAAAAAAACAAATATGGAGACAAATGAGAAGTCACAAGGGTTAATACAGATCAAGCTGGTTTAACGGCTCTTTTCTTCCTGGTATTTTTTGCTAAAACTACTTTCAGTCTGAAAACTGAATAACATGCATATTGTTGGAATAAATATGAACTGTGCCACATTAAGGACAGACATAATGAAAAAACATTTGCATAGATAAAACTATGAAGTAAAAAGCATGAATATTTGCACACCTTTGGTAGCTCATCTCTTTAACGAGTCATCAAACGTTTAGAAATTATTATAATTACATTAGGCAAAGATACTCCAACTAAAGTTGATGTGCCGAGAGTAAACTATTTATTCATCCATAAAGATAAAAAATATACTGATGTACTCATAGTTTGCACAAATAAATCCAATTGCTTAAATGTCATCTTTAAACTACCCCAGACATATCTTAGAGAGCATATTCATGTGCAGATTATCATCCCTCAGCCTGTTTGGTACCTGTAACTGGACTTTGTCTTTTAAGGAAGCCCAGCAGGGAGCTTAGACAGTTGACTGAGGTTCGCAGCAGCAATTCGTGTTTCTACAGGGAAAGAGACAAAATGACAGACTTCAACTGTGGGAGCACATTTCATATTAAAGGATGTTTTTTCTAAGATGAAACTCAAAGCTGTAGTTATTTTAAAACATGGAAAATGAAACTTTATAATATATGGTTTTGAAAATGTATCAAGCTTTTCCTAAACCTAACTAAAATATTTCTGTTGCTGAATGCTAATCAATAAAATGCTTCATAATATGCAGCACAGAGTGAATGAGATCTATGGAAGTTGAGGAGGTCCACAAGTATATATATATATATATATATATATATATATATTTTTTTTAATGACATGATTATCCTGCTTGTTTGTAATAAATAGGCCTGTCACAATAACAAATTTTGCTGGGCGATTGTCTCAGAAATTATTGTGATAAATGAAAATATTGTTTGAAATTTGACAATAATTAGTAATTATTGACAAATTTAAGAAGAAATGTTGATTTGTTTTGTGTGTAGTACCTTTTTTTGGACCACTGGATGGTAGTACAAGACAGTTTGAACCGAAGTATGGATAGTGAGGGAGCCAAAAGCGTGTCTCTTTAAGAAAAATGGGAGGGAGGCACCTTGACGTCACATGGGCTGTCTCTCCTTTTTTTTGGTTCTCAAAATGGCGGACGCTTGGTGTGGTTTGAGCTCTTTAGGATATCATTTGTCACACAAAGCTTTTAATAAAAAAATAGAAAAACAAGTTCTCAGCTTGTTTTTGCAGAGAAAAACAAGTTTTTACATGAAGGCACGGGTTTCAACCGTGAATTTTGCAGCTTTGACAAGACAGGAGTTTTTTTCCCCCGAGGTCAGCCTGTTAGCTTAGCTCATAGCTTAGGTTCTCAGCTTATCTGCTTTTAAAGATCCAAAAATGCACTTTTGTATGGTTAAAATGGATTTTAAAACAAAAAGAGAAAGGGGGGGGGGGGGTGTCAGTGAAGAGCACCGGAGTTGAGCTTTTTGTCATCCAGTGTCTTCTGTAGAATGAGAGACACAAAGAAACAATAAAGCCGATAAATGAAAATGAGGTCGATCATTTTCATTTATCATGCAATTAATTGATTTATTGTTTATCGCACAGGCCTAATAATAAATTGTTAAAATAAAAAGAAAACAATGGAAACTCGAGGGGTCATGCCCATGTTTCACTTTAACAGCTGCTTAAAAACTGGTGACAGTGACAGATGCAAACTGGGATGAACTGGCATGACTTCAGCAGCCATGTTTGCCATCAGATTTTTTGAGAGTGTTAGCTGAAGCAGAAAAGTGGAAGACAGTCAGCCTCTTTGCCTTCTCTCAGACTGTTGCTCTAAAAACTCCAGCAAATGGCAGCGGTTTGGAAAGCAGAAATCAGATGTCATCAAAGGAACCAGACAGCCTCTGCTTCTCCAGACAATATTTTACCTCACTGATTTACTTAAAGCTGAAACGTTCTTGAAAGAAGCTTGAAAATGTCAAACTAAACACAACTGAATTTAAAAACAGAAAGGTTAAAAAAGAGCACAATAATATTCCTATGTTAAAGCCTTCATGGTGAAATGTTTTGCGCAGAGACGTAATGTAGCCGTTACATATTCTGCTGTGATCCTGCTTTGCATAAAAATGTCATACTTGAAGGAAGCCTGTGTTGAGACGTGTGTTTGTGTGCACAAACAAAGCAACAGATGTAGAGGGAGCTGGAACACACACTTTCACACAGACACGTGCTCACCAGCAGACAGAGATGCATTCAGAAACAAAAGCGAGAACAAGATGACACTGGAGGGAGCGACTGAGCGAGGTTTTATTAATGCCTGTGTTTCGCACAGCATGCGCGCTGACAGTGAGCTCTGTGTGGTGTCCAAAAAAACACTGAAGCAGGCTAGACGGATATGTAAGATGTCAATGGAGAGTTCTACACTAATCCATAAAGCAGAGGGAAGGAGATAACAGGAACAACTCAACAGGCTTAGTGGAAGAGGGGGACAGGGAGGGAGGGAGGTGAAGTGGTTGGAGTAAAGAAAGGTGTGAAGGAGAGGTGAAGAAAAGTAAAGTGGAGAGGAGATAAGCCCTGGAGCTGCAGTGTTTCCTTCTGCAGCTGAACCAGAGGAAACAGTGAAATACTGGAAGAGGGCTTTGGGAACTGTTACACTGCAGCACAGCAGAGCAGAAGCACAGAACTCAGTTCAACATTTCAGTCTTCTACAGAAAGGAAAGATGCCTCTGCTGAGCAGCTGGAGGCTGGCATGCTGCTACACTGACAGGACCACAGGTTTAACCACAACATGACTACAGAGTGATACAACAGTTTATGGTCTCTGAGATGTTTCCTACTTTTTAATGTAACTTACTGAGTCGCTGGCACAATCAAGCATTATGTGCCACCCACAGATGTAGTGCACGAAAACACCTTCATATAAAACGCAGGTTAGTGAGACTCTAGTCTGCTGCTCTTGCACTAAGCAACCAAAGCCCTTAGGAACATGAAACAAAAATACTTTGGGCAATAAGTGAAATGTGTGTATTATTAGATAATCCTAACTGATAATTCATCAGATTAATTATTTTTACGCAATGTGATTTACAAAATGTCATTTTAATGAAACTTTTTTTAAACAACTGTTTTGTTGCAGAAAAAAAACAATTGTCCTGTCTTATGGGTTTATGTGTCAATATTTAGGAGTGCTTTTTTAACTATGGTTTATTTATTGGGTGCCATTTCTACTTTCAATAAATTTGATTTTCTATTTCTTTGCTTTGTTTATATATTTTGCATGTTTTATTTCTACAGTCAGGGATTTTCTTTTTCTCAGTTTGTTGGAATAATGTTCTTTGCATTCATAAGAGGGTTAAATTATTCCAATTAAAACATGAAAATAATGGAAGAATAACAGTTTTTTTTCTCAGCATTTTTAAGAATTGGTACACATTTTTCCATGGCTTTGACACGTTTAGGGTAATTTCACTCAGGAACAGGAACAGGAGTCTCATTGTAGTGTGCTCTTTAGTTTCAAGCTATGTTTGACCAGAATTTAAAATGGTTTGTCTCTTCATTGTTGTATGAATGTGACAGTAAAATAAAAAAACTGACAGTCAAACATTTGCTTCTGCAATTACGGCAGTAATTAATTTTTTGCCAAGAGGTAGATCGTGATTTTAGAAAAACTTTGAACTTTGCACCTGTGACAGCAACCTTTAAGTCCTCACAACTACACAACTGTTTATTGAGTATTTGACATAAAAATTTAAAATACTAGATAGTTTTGATGTCATTCTTTAAATTAATATAGACAGTCATATACATACAAACATATGTTTAAAATTTGTGAATGTTTTTCAGTTTGTTCACCTTATGACAATATGTCCAAGACCAAAGTCTTTCTGACCACACTTTTATGAGGACAATACACCGGTGTCTGCAGGTTTCAGTGTTTTGTTGTTAAACTGTAATGAACTGTCAGCGATTCTAACAACGTTCTCATGAAACTATTTCTCTGCAACAGTTCACTTGTGTGTGCTGTGATGTTAAATCATACTGCTCTTACTGTCCAATAGCTCAGCAGCAAAAACAAATGAGCCAGGAGCTCCAGTCTCTGTGCAATTCAGTGCTTTAGGAACATAGGGGACCATCTCACAGTCCTTATAATTAGCTGATGTAGTTCACCCTTTTATTGTTTTTGTACAGGCAATACTGTGGTCATTAGTAGTCCTGATAACTACATTAATTAAGTCATTTTTAGCTCCTGCTTCAGAACAGGTGTTTTTTTTTGGTTTATTAAGGACTCTTGAATGATGTAAAGTGTTGTTCATACAAAAGCGTATTTTGTTTGGACTAACAAGATGAACACTTTTACAACGCCCAAATTATTAAAACTGCATTTCCATTGCTAAAGTAGAAGCTGTTTAACTGTTGTCTGCTACGACATGCTCTTTGAACATGTGCAGCATAAACTAGACAGATCTTTGAATGTATGACTTATGTTGTATGAGTATTGCTTTCTAAAAGTTCTTCTGAATGTCTGGGATTCTTGCTCCACATAGTCTTCCATTGCTGCTGATGGCAAATATCACATGCACAAGTTGTTTGGCTGCAATGACCATCATCCAAGTGTTCAATAATCTGTATTCCACTTTAAACCACAGCAGAGTCAGATTAACAGCCCTTATAACTTTAACAGAGTCCTTCTAAGGACTATATCGTTAGCTAGCTGGTAGGGGTGGGCGATGTGGCTCAAACATAATGTTGTGATATTTCAGAGAATTCTGATGATAACGATAAATTTTGTGATAAAAAAGCAAAAA